TATTATTTTATTTTTATTTTTATTTATTACATAATTATTTATATATATTATATTATTATATATATTATTATATTATTTATTTCACTTGTATAATTATTATAATATTAATTGTATATTATCTTTTAAGGAATATAAATTGAAAAAAAAAACATAACATGTTGTGATACTACTTATTGTAAGTGTTATTAATACACAGCTATTACACTGTGGTATTGGGTTACCGACTAGTGTCTGTCATTGGTCGCTGTCCTCACTCTTGCCCCACACACTCATACTTACACATGTGTACCGATAATATTATTAATAAATGTCTTTAGCAGTATCAGCTCTACTTTATTTTGTATATTTTCAATAGCTATGACGTGCTCGGACCAGTCATTGAGAATATGGAACTTCTGGCCCACCGCAGCGACTCAGAGGAAATCGCCAGATTACCGACTGCGTCAAACGGACTCGGTTCAGCCGCAGACCATATCTGATTTGCTACAGGGCGTGGATGATGGTGGCAGTGACTTGAACACCAGCCGTGAAAGGAGCAGCAGACACATCAACAATAATAATTACTGCTACCAAAGTAATCACATTCCGACCATGATGTCCGAGTTATCATTGGACGCGTCCAGGGTGATCAAATAATAGAGAAAACAAACGGACATACAAACCAAACAATATTTGCAGATTATATTATTACCTATATATGTATATTTGTTATATAATAATGGCGGTAATCATTTTTCACTCAGGTGGTTCCTATATAACTAAAAAATTTTTTTTAAAAAAACGATTGTGAATTATAATATATTATATATTTAATAATTATTTATGCGCTACTAGCGAGCGTTTTTCTATTAATATTACATTATTTATGTTATACGTAATTTTTTTCAACGATTTTCTATTATTTATTAACTATTTTTTTTTCGAATATACAATTAATACTGTCTTTAGGTTTGAATACTCATAATAATTATACACTTACCTACTATACTAGTATTATTCTGAACCACACCACTGTCAAACTGTATTGTAATTTATTTATTATTATCAATAATTGTAATTTGTGTAACTATTATAAAATAATATTGTTACCTGTTTATTATGATTTATTTGTATACATATAATGTTTGTTTACTATTTTAAATCTAGGGAATTGTTTTCAATTAAAATCACTTAAATCATCTATATCATCACTATATATTACATATATTGATTAGTTATACATTTCTAACAAGGACAGTGGAAGGGTTTGAATTCCTTTGACCCCAATGTAGATTTGACATTTACTTACCTATAAAAATTGAAATTTTATTAATAATTGTAACTGTATACTATTATAGCAAAATTAAAATGTGTTTACTATCTATCTGTATGGGGCTATATAAACAATATTAATCTGCATAATGTATTTCATGTATTTTCAGACCACATCCCTAATTCAGCCCAAGCCAAAACGTAACAATGTTGGTTTTTTTATGTTTTAAAAAACATAATCTACTTGATGATCTAAACCAGCTGGGTACCCTCTAAAACTGGTTTGGATAGTCAGGGATAGGGTCACCACTATCTCACCACATAACCTGGGCATTTTAATATTTACCCTGGTAGAGGGTGTATTTATGTAGCTTATGAGTTCACTTTAATTATACCAAGTCTACCAATATAGAAGTTATGTGCCTCTAAATGCGAGGAACTCTCAATACTCCTCCATCATGAAAAGTAATTAATCAAAAGAAAATATTGAAAATAAAATACCACTTAGAAAGTAATAAAAAAAATAATCTAAGTAAAACAATATCATATAACATCAAATATGAGTTATTAATTTATTGGCCTACCAATAGTGAACAATTTTCTTATACTTTCAAATGGCCACACTCTCTTTATTAAGGCACTCTAATTGTTACTGAACCTAACCTAACCAACTATAAGGGTAAACTAACCACAGAAAATACATAGAAAATGGTATACCACATGAAGAATGTATAATAAAAAAATATTCAATTTTGGATTAACCAGAATGTTTTATTTTGTTTTGGTTAATTAGGATGTTTTTTAAAAAAGTAATTTGGATTATATGGATGTTCAATTTTTTGAGAGTTTTTAGATGTGTCCCAGTTAAAATGATTGATATTCAAACTATACAATATATTATATTTACATTAAATTACAAAGTATATGTAAACCAAATAGTTACCATTATAATAAATTAAAAAGACAACAACAATTATTAATCAAACTCATATAAAATATTATTAAGAACAAAAAATCACTACATAATAATAGTAATAATAATAATAATTTTTATTTGCAAACATACTATATCATAATTTCCAAAAACATATTTTTTTTTTCATTATGTAAAAATTAGCAGAGTCAAATGGAAGTCTTGTTCATGTTATATACTTAGAATCTAAATCCAAAATTTGATTGTGCATATTTTGTATATTTAATGTTTTCTTCTCATTAGAGCAGAATGTAGCTTTTAAGTGCTATACAATTTTTAAAGTATATTTAAGTGCATATTTGTTTCTTTTTTAAAGCACATTCGTATGATTTTTAGAGCTAGAAGTCCCTATAAGTCTATATATAACATTATAAGTTTGCTTACCTATAAGCAAAAGATTGAGCCAGAGGCAAGAGGTTATTAAAATAGTCAATTATAAATACAAAATACTAATATTATCAATAAAATAATTTCGTGATTTACCTTTTACAGAACTAGAGATATAGTAACATAAATTATAGAACAAAAAAAAAAAAAACATAATTTTGTCAGTGATGGATACTAGTTAAATACTAGTAATTGTGACATCTAATATCTATACAATAGTGAGTAATGAGTATAATAAATAAATTGATGAATCATGATTAATTTAAACTTAATATAACGCTTAAATAAATTAAAGTTACAGAAATTATTAATGTTTATTTATAAATTTCTGCAGAGCGTTATTGATCTATTTAATAATATGTTTGTCTATTTTGTAAGATACACTCAATATTATAAACTATCACGCATATTTCTAAGACTACCAATCCCCAGCACATATGCAATATCAATTTTTCTATTTTATATAAAATCTGTATTCTCATTTTTTTTTATCTTTATCAATTCTACCTTTCTACCTAGTAGATATTTCATTTTTTTATAGTATTTGTAATTATATCTGTATAATTATTTACTATAATTTTATAACAATCCTATGTATATCAATATTGAATATATATACTGTGTCTTTTGGTGGGCAGTCCACTTAATAAAGTTGTATACAATATAGAGCCTTTTCTGAAACGAAATTTCTTGGAGTGGTTCTTGAGAGAGGTCATATTTTGATTTTCCCTGAAATTTTTCCAATAAAAAAAAAAAATAGAAAAACGAGAAATTTACGAAAATAATGCTTTTATTATTTGTTCAATTTTGTTAATTATTTGTAATTCAGTTAGAGATATTAGTAGAGACTTGAAATTAGTACAGATAACTTTTGTTTGCCTTTTTTAGACACAGTAAAATTTTCAAAATATTTGAGCCATATTTGAGCTATTTATAGACATTTAAATTTTGTAAGTTTTGTATGTAATTTTTATTCTGTAGGTACTCTGTGGTAAAATTGTTAGACTTAACAGAAATGCGTGAAAATTTAACAGGAGGTTCATTAAGTCTTATTTTGTGGTAAATAAAAATTTGAGTTTAATGTAGTATTTTTTTTTTTATAAAGGAATTTTAATATCAAGTTTTGGCGAAAATGAGTTTAAATAAAAATTATGTGGAACAAAAATTATAGCTTTTTGATGTTCTGATATTATGTGTATAATATAATATGTAATATTAAATAATTATATATTAACAACTCTCAAGTATGTTTGTCGTAGCTGAATAATTATATATTAACAACTCTCAAGTATGTTTGTCGTAGCTGAATAGTTATACGTACCTAGGATGACTTTTGTCATCCTAGGGTTCGCGAATTCAAACCAATTTTTTGCTGTTATTTTTTTCTTTTTTACCTAAGTAGGTAAGCAACAAATGCATTTTAGGTATACCTAGAAACCCAGCTATGTAGCTCGCTCGGAATATTTTAATCAAAATGTTGTGCAAACTTTTCTATCAGAAATCGTGCTCCAATGTATCAAGTGTAGCTTATTTTCAGAAAGTAAATTTTATCTCCATGGTAATTTAAGGAGGTCATTTTTTGATTTTTCAAGTGGTTTTCATAATATTGGGAAAAACCGGAAAAAAATAAGGAAAAACGTAGAAAAACAGGAAATTTACAAATAATATTAAACAAATATTATCAAAGAAAATATATATAATGCCTAATTTATTATTTTACCATAATATGACATATATATTGTTGATAAAGCATCACTATCGACTGAACTGCGCTCGGAATCGTTTTTTCGTTAGCAATGGTTTATCATTGCCTAAAATGTACAGATATACATTAAATTACCTATAACAGTGATTGCACTCGTCTCCATTATCTTAGAATGTCTTTTTTTTTAGTATAATAATTGAGCTTTATAATTATGACAGCATGTTGGAAAATATTTTTTATGTTTATAAACTGTTAATAGTGTACATTTGTTAAGCAATTTATTAACATTTAGTACATTAAATTCATTATATAAAAAATTAGTATTCGTAAAACTAGGTAAACCTAAAATAAATGTAATAATCCTATTCATAATTATTACAACTCTGTCCAAATGAACATTGTATGCCTCTTAACATAAATCTTCATTATATAAAAACAGTTTTACATCATTCTTCTTCCAACAAACAATGAATAATTATTTCTATGACGAAATAGATTAAAATAAATATAAATATTGAACACTCTAAATGGTTTTAATTTGTGGAGGAATTTGTGTGAGTATAATTGTGTAACAAAATGCGTTTAGAAGAATTTACATTTTTCGGGTATTCACACACACCGGTTTTTTTTTATGAAAACATAGTTTGATGTTACGGGTGTGTTGCCTAACGATATACGAACGTTATGGACACCGATCAGGAATTGGAATACGTGTTGGCGGTGCCGGTCGACCAGGCGCGCACGTTGCGAGACAAGTTGATGTTGGTCGGCGCGCCGGAACGGTCCATCAGAATGACAGAGCCGACGTCCGCGCGGTCTAGTCGGTCGACCAGGCGACTGAGTTCGAACGGTTGTGACCACGGTCAGTCGTTACACGTCAAGTCGTACGTCCGGTTTTTGCCGGACATCATAAAGCTGGGCACGTACGCTGAGGACCAGAACGTGACGATACGCCGGCGGCTGTCTGCGGAGGGCCGGGTAACCGTGTGCGTATCGATGTACCCGCGGTCGGCTACGACTACACAAGACGAGCAATTGCAGTTCGCCGCAGTTGACCAATCGCGTTCAAGTGGTAATTACAGCGGCGACGGCGGTGACAACGACGACGGATCGGCGATAATATGTCTGTGCCGTTGCGACGGTGCTGAGTGCGAAAATGACCGAAAGAGATTGTGCGAATATTTGGCGAACAACGGCACGAGTGACTGTGGTGATCACGGCACCACGGAATGCGTCAACAAGCGGATTATCGACGCACTGCAGTTAGCGGTTATTAATGCCTGCGCCGCCGACATCTCGTACGCGGACACCGCCAACCCCACACCGATCCCGGAAGCCGTCTCTTTGGACGTGAAGGAATGCGACGTCACGGCGGATATCCGGAAGGCCACGGCTGACGTAATATGGACGGACGACCGCGCGTATCGAAAGAAACAATCCCTGATGAACAGGCTATGGCGTACGGTTCAGAATGCCATAAGACTCCCCTACCGCCGCTATGATATGGCGGCTCAAGCCAAAGTCAAGAACCAGGAATCTATAAAACTCCTGCCTCTGAAAACAGCAATTTTAAGTCCGCTCGACAACTGTAGAACTTAACGGAGACGCGGAATATTGTTAACGAAAGTTCTTTTTTCTATTTTCAATATATTATGGTTATTATATTGTTTTTTCCGCTTGGTATAACAAGGTAAATGGGAAAATAACGATTTTCATAATATTTTATCGATTGCGTTTTCAATGAGATTGTGGGTTTTAAGCGGTACTACAGGTAAGTGTACGGGATAAAACGGTAAGTGGGTAATTGGGCATGGTAAAGTAGGACAGGTGAATCATTAAGAGCGCTCGCCTAATGTTTTTTATAATTAGATTAGGTCAGGTTAAATTTTGCATGTATTCAAATTCTGTTTTTTTGGAATTTTTGAGTGTAGGTGTTAAAGTTGATATTTTCGAATACTTATCTTTTTCACAACATGTGTTGGTTAGGTTAGGTTTTTACGTAATTATTATTCGGTAGGTAGTCTGTGGATAAAATTGTTAGTTTAACATAAATTCTTGAAAGGAACTTTTAGAGGAAGTTCATAAAACGTCGTACTTCGAAGTAAAAAAAAATTATTATAGTAGAATTTTTTTTATATAAGAATTTTAATATCAAATTTGTATGAAAATTGTAAACATTACGACCCTTCTAGACGTGTATAACCCAACTCCTCTCAGAATCGTTTTTCGTTGAGAATGATTAATTGTTTCGCACAGGTATATAGTAAATTTCTCTCTATATCCTACCTTACCAAGTTCGCACCTACATCAGTGTATTACATTATAATACACGGCAGTTATCATGAAAAAAATGATATAATATTCTTAAAATGACTTATGATTACCGCTGTTGCCACTAACAGTTTTCGTAAATCGAATGATTTCCAAAAATTGAGTGTCCGACATCGTTCTATTCTATCAAATACATACTTTTAAATTGAATGTGAAAGTAAATTATATTCAATTTTATAATATGACAATATTATGAATTAAATCTGTAACCAAATGTCCGGAAATCCGTTTTCTTATCAATGGATATAAGATATCTATTGATCAATTATTGAATCAATGGATATCTATAAAAACGGGTAATCAGTTAATCCGTTGTAATGCTATCATATAAATGTACTAATATATAATATTATTTATATTTGAAGTAAAAAGGTCAAGGATATATATTTTCTTTACTCCTCCATTGATTAATAATACCCATTTCACCTATAAGTGAAACGACAAAAGACTCGACTCAAATTTTGTTGACAGATTATTTTCAGACATTTCTTCATGATGAAATATTTTATGTTAAAATATTTAAATATCATAAAAAAATGTTAATAGGTATTCTGTTTTGTTTTATTATGATTACACTAGTTTCGAGACGACAAAAAATGTTTTGAAAAATGTTGCAAAAAAAATTTGTCAGGTGTGGGGTTCGAACCCACGCTCCCAATTGGGAACCAGAGCTTAAATCTGGCGCCTTAGACCGCTCGGCCAACCTGACGTATGTGAATAGTAGTAATTTTGTTATAAATTAAACTTGAAAATAATAACCACATCGTAATATATGTATATATATTATGTACCTACATAATGATCACGTCTACATGAATATAAATTGAAAATCAAAAAATCTGACAATATATACCTGTTTGTTACACTACAGTACTACTGTCTGGATTTAAATGTACCACGGTACGTAAAATCCACAAAATTCGCTTTACATGACAATAAAAATATCTGAAAATCCCTTAAAAAGCAAAAATTGTTAGGAAGTTGAAAATTCTCCTCTTTAACAATTCTAATAATTTCTAACACTTAAAATCATGATTAACATAAAGTAGTTTTGTTCTAAAATAAATTGTAGATTCGAATATTATTGGGGAATGATGTTTGTAGTATTATACGTTAAAACTTAATACTATTAGTAGGGGACTTTTAAACCTTTTTTTAAAATTATTTTTAACGGATTTTTTAAAAGGCATTTTTTTCATTTTTTGTGAATTATTTCTAATTTTATTTATATTCGGACCTATTGAGCACCTACGCATAATAGTATATGGGTCTCTGCCATAGAGAGGGGGAGCATATAGAATTTTTGTTGAGAAGAGAGCCGCTTTTTTTCATAAATACCATTTAAGATCCTAGAACCCGTCTTACTATTTTATTTTAAACTACTATATTATCTAAATATTACAGGAATTAATAAAATAATAAAGTAAAAACAAAATTATTAAATGGTTATATGGTTTTATTTATTTTGTTTGAGTAGGTAGTAAATTAAATTTTCTGCTTGTCTATATGATCCTTTAAATAAAATGAAAGTGTCATCAACATATCTATAATATGCTTTTATATATAAACTGTATATTTTGTTGTTAATAATATTATTGGTTTCATAATTTTGCCTATTCATTTCAGAAAAAAGAGCACATAAATTACCACCCCTAACCCTTGTTTTTGCGAGCATAATTTATCATTATATTTGATTAATAATTACATTTATTACTATATATAAGTTTATTTTTAAAAATGTACTGTTTTATATTTATAAATCATTTCGTAATTTGGCTCAATATTGATTTTATTAATGTTTTCGATGAAACTATTAGTTTTTTTTTATATAAATATCAGTATTCATGTTTAATTTTTCTTTTATGAGAGAGTCTAAATATTTAAGTAAAGTTATAAGGTCTATAAGATGGAGAAGTTTTTATGTACATTAATGGACGAATCGATTTATCTATAGTATTATCTATTATCTAAGTATAGAGCCTTTATTTTGTAATCAGATTTTAATAATATTTTTTTTTAGACTATAGGTATGATTTCTTTTGAATTTGTTATCAGTTTAATAATTTGTTTAGTGTATATTATAGTTGAGTCATATGCCAATTTTTGAATATTATTATTATTTATGAAATCGAAATTTTTTTTTATGGATTTCATTAGTGTAAATGATGAAAATAGCATTAGATTTTTCTACTAAAACGTCTGGAACTATTCCTGAATTATTTGTTTTTAATTTATTCACTGTGTATTTAATAATTGTATTTTGTCGTTTAACCATAGTATTTCGCTTTAATATTTTATTAGTTTTATTTTTGTAGTTTATATTTGTGCTGTTATATCTTGTTTGATTTTGATTTTGAAATTGTGTATAGTTTATAATAGATTCACATTGTATTGGTTTTTAATTGAAAGCTTAATGTTTAATATGTATTGAATTTATTACCTTTATTTAATAAATTGTTTTTCAGTTTTATTGAAAATTATGGAAGTTAAATAAGTAACTTGTGATCGTAGAGAAAGCTGGTTTTTAAATTGTAATTTTTGTGAATTTTATGGTACTAAAATATTAATTTTGTCATTAACCTTGTGACATTTCTCGTTTTTCTTATACTGTAAATTTTGTTGCATAAGATTTTATATTATGAGTAGAATATGTTACATTTTGATTCAATTTTAATTTTTTTTAAATATATTCCATGTTTCTATTTAACTTTGTTTCAGTTTGAATAGAACTTTAGAAAAAAACTGATGGGTGCTTCTATCACCCAGCATTGCAAGTCAATATAAAAACAAAGCTTTAAAATAGCGTTTTTAGAATCCTAATGTTAATTACTCCAAACGTTGCTTCAGGTATATATTGTGCTCACAGAAACCCAACTTTTGAGTTATATTGAACTTAACCATATGAGAAGCAGTCCTATAAAATAGTGTTAAATTTAAAAATCGCTTCTATTGAATTGGATCTACAGTAGGTAGTGACCAACCTTATTTGGACAAAATTGTATCGACCATACATTTTTTTTATATTACATATAAATAACAATAAAATAGAGATTAATTTCTAATATAGAAAAATATGATGAAATAATTTTAAATAATAATAAAATTTGATATTAAATAAGTATAATGTTAATTTTAAAAATTGTATTCTAACATTCTTAAAATATATTTGACATATTAAATTGACGACAAAAGTTATTCAAAATTTAAAAATATATATTAATAATATTAAATAATACTCCCTCTGCTCAATAATATATTGGCCTTTGCAGGGAAATATCTGGTTTATGACATGTATATAGTGAGGATATAAATGCAAATGTAAACAAAATGTTACTTGTTGTTCAAAATGTCATAGATTCAATTTATGTGTAGCAACAAATAAACAAGTATATGTATGTAGATATATCAAATAATATGTAGGTAATATTACATAGGTACCAGATACTGTGAAAAGTTGAAATTTATGGATGTTACAGTTTTACTTAAATGAGTTTGGTCAATACTAGATTTGTTGGGCAAAGTCAAAATATGATGGTTTGCCCAAGTATTGTGGACAATTTATGTTTTGCCCAGGCATTTCTGAAGTCCACATGGATATCTCTGTTTTATAGAAAAAAATTACTCAATACTTATCATTATCACTACTTTTTGGTACAGCTGATAAAAATACTCAATAAATAAAAAATATCCCTGGTATACTAAATACTATATTATTTTATTACCTATTAAAAAATTACAGATAAAAAGGGATGACGGGGCCGATCATCCCTCACTCAAATACATCACTACAATAATATAAAATATAATATATAATAATGCCTATAATACAATTTACTAAACCTATAAACTATATAAAAAAGAATGTTTATTAACAAAGACTGGGCATTTGCTAGAATAGCACAATTAATTTAAAATAGACGGCATACTGCCTACAATGTATTATTATGTGTTAGGTTATAAATAAAATATATATTTAATGTAGAATACATTACATTGATTAAATGTAGGTACTTACGTATCACCTATATCAGTGTCATGTCTCAAAGAAATAAATAAGTAATTAATCAATTTTTTTAAATAACAATGTAACTTATTCATTAAAATGACTAATATTTATTAATTCTATTAAGTTTAATTTGTAATAATAACAATAAGCATCTAAAATAAGAATTTCATTTATCTTAATTAATTTTTAAAGTGAATTTTTGTTTTGTTTTTTTTAATTTAATTTTATATTATCATGTAAAGCTTACTAATTTAATTGTCAAAGCTAATTATATCACAAAATGTCCAATGAAAAAAAAAGTGATGTCTAAATAACTAATATGATGTTACCAGCAGCTATGACCATGAGCCTATAAATATCACAAATATGGTAGTTATTTTTATTGATGTGGAATTGATCTAGAACAAGTCTAGTTTACTGAGCAAATTTTTTTATTTTTGTATATTGAATCCAAAAATATTTGATTTTTTTTGCAGAACCTATTGTTAAAGAAGTTATGGAAAAATACTTTGAATTTTCAAACATCTGTGATATTAATTTTTTTATTGTTTAAGTTGTGTTTTTTTAATGTTAAAGATAATATTGCAATTTGAATTTGAGGAAAATGGAGTTCATTAAGTTAAAGATAATTTAAGACAAATTTGTCAGTGTTTTATAATTAAATACAAATATAAATTGAATTTTTAGATTGTCATAATGACTTTAACTATGATTTGTCTATAAAGAGGACAGACTAATCTTGCCAATTCTTGAAAAAATTTATCACACAAATATTTGTGGTTACATGACCGAATGATGTTTGATTCTGCATTTAAACACATGTATGTTTTCAACAGTAAAAACTATTAGTACAATTTATATATTTGTAATTATATGATTTCATTAACATGTATGTATCCATTAATACATAGGTATACATAATCCAATAAAATATTTGAACTTTCTAAATATTTCATCAACTTGTGAAATATTGATTATTTGGATGAAATTACTTCATGTTTTATATTTTATGAAATCTGCATGGTTAAAAATTAGACAATTATCATTAACATTTAAAAGACAATCTCCTATTTTATATTTTTCAATTTTATTTTTTTATTTTTGATTCAGATAATCATTTTTCATTAGCAATGGTTTATCATAGCGTATAGATATAAATTAAATTCCCTGCTATATTATCCTACATTCCCAACTTCTCACCTATAACTGTAGCCCACCCATTGTGCTAAAAATGTCTATCGTTTTTTAATAATCAATCTATTTAAGATAATTGATTAGTTAATATTTAAATTTTAAAACAAATGCATATTCATGATAATATTATTTCATATTTTATTTATTAATCAATATTTTGAATTATTATAATCTATTACCTTTATTATTATGTTCTCTTATTGGTGTATTAGGTACTACCTCTAGCTATGTCTCTAAAAATTTAAATAATAAAAAAAAACAAATAAATAGTAAATAGGTACATAATAATACCTGTTTACTAGTAATGTATAGTAATACATTATATAAAGATGATGTAGCCAAATTAAATATATTTTATATTAACACTTGTTAGTTATTTAATTAAGGTTTCAAAATAATAAGATTTACTTGTTGGTTAATAACTACATTACAAAATAAATTCAATTATTTATTTATAATTTTTCTGTCAAAACTAAAATTTAGTAACTAATTTTAGAATAAACATAAGATTTGACTAGGTAGATTAGTCAAAAATATATGAAATTCATTATGATATTATGAAAATTGTGTTTTGAAATGTTTCTATAGCAATCACCAGTATATTTTTTTAATATAAATCAGAATCTTATTATCTTCATCATTCTGCCCATGACTTCTAACTTGTCTATGGCTAATTGGTTTGCCTTTTAATTTGTGGAATCCTTTGATCTGTTGCTTGATTTCTACATTCCCTAGCTGGATGTGGTAGTAGAGTTCGAGGTTCCAAATTAACAAGATCTATTCGTTGGTTAATAACTACATTTCAAAATAAGTTCAATTATTTATTTATTAGTTGGCTGTTAAAACTATTATCAACTTTATCAAGAAAGTTTACCATATGTATAAAAAACATTCAAAAAAGCCCAAATTGAAGGCTGTTGACCAATATTTGTTTTCAAACTTTCTACATGATTGTTGATCCGAATATTTATTCTAACTGAACCCAAAAAGATGAATAGTAAATTGCTGTCAAAACTCAATTTTTATCAGGCAAGTATAGTTGGGTTTCTTACCATTGAACACCATTCGTCTCAAAATATTTTTAATTTTCTTAATAATTAATATGACAATGTGGGTTATTACTTCTTATTTTTAATATTAATTTAAAAAGTTAAATTGTATCACTTTGTGTATATTATAACAAATATATTATTTAATTCAAAGTAACTCAAATTTTTTTTTTATTTTACGTAATATTTTTATTTACATTATAACATTACATCATAATAATACATTTCTAGTTATCTGTTATTTTACCGCCTATTGCAAAAGTAACAAAATTTCGAGTAAATAATTCGGCGAAATTCTAGTAGATAGTAATTCATTACTATCTTGACCGTTATTTTATAAGTATTATAAATATAATATTAAGTAAATCTTCAGGATATTCTAATTTCATTTAAATTATATACAATTTTGAGAGAATTAGTAATCAGTAATCACTGATAACTATAACTCGACTAATATCATAAAAACTACTCGTCCGATGAAAAATAATCATTCATACTATCAATGTATACTCTACTCTATGGTATATACTCACAAATAAAAATAAATATATTTTCATAAAATGTTTGAACAGTTTAGGTTGGCAACAAATTCACTGCCGCCAGTTTCGAACTGGGTTCTTATCATTTTTCGTACAATTGTGTTGCGAGAAACAACAGATGCCGACAACTGTAACCAATCACAGTGGTCTGACCGTTCCGGTAGCGTTTATGCGTGTATGAATTTCTCCAAACTTATAACTAATTCTAATATGTTTCATGGGATAAAACGCAGAGTATAATATAATATTTAAATAATATAATTTTATACCATAGATATATAAAACTTAACCTTGTTTTATATATCTGTGGTTTATACGTAATAATTATTAGTGATTATTGAGTAATACTAAAATAAGTCGTGTGTTAAAATTTCATTATTTTCAAAAGTATGAACATATACCTATTAGATACATAATTTCATCGGTTATTAGTAAGTAAAAATAATATAGTATTCAATACTACCTAGGTATCTAAAATTTAAAATGTATTATTATATTATTCGTTTTTGTCATACTCTGGTTCCATTACATTTCATTTACTTGCTAGTTTGTAGGATTCGGACAAATTGTTGAGATAGACGAAAATTGATATTCTAAGTAGACAACTCTTGTAAATAGAATACTTCCACAATAGTGTTTTTTTAAAGGATTATGTCGTGAATCGTGAAACCAAAGAATATGTCCAGGCTGAACTATGTCTACACTTTTGGAAACAATATCATTAACAAAAAAAATTAATGTAGGCAAATAGATAGTTTGTAATAATAGGAAAGTGTCATATTTTGGTTGTCAAGGTTGTGATATTTCATAAAATAATGGGAGTACCTAATTTGTTGGAACTGCTGAACTGGGGCCACAGATTACTTTGGCGCTACCGATGATTATCAAGTGCTTCCGTTAAAAATTGCACTCGTTATAATCCAGTTCAGTATTTTATTGTTCAGAAAATCTCCCGATTTCCGCTTAAATCTGTAAAACATGACTAAAAGTGATGACACTTTGTAAATATAAAAGGTTCTACCATATTTAAATAGCCTGTTAGTTTTGAGTACTAGTACAGCACTATATATTTTGTATGATCCTGGCATTTTAATTTCAAACTTCAATTTATATTTTCATAAATATTAATTATTCAAAATTCAAAAAATATTATACATTAGGTTTCTCATGTATATAATTTTGTTACCTATTTAGTACTATAAATATTACAACTTTTTAAAATATGTTCAGACATTATTATATTTATTAATTTTGATATTAAAAACAGTTATAAATGTAAAATAAAAAACCTGCTGTTCGACTGATGGGTATGACACTGTTATAGGTGATACATAAAGTTATTAAAAAAACTCTAACTTTAATTTATATTTATAAGCAACAATAAACCATTGCTAATGAAATACAATTCTGAACAAAGTCATGTGATATATGTTTTGAAATACCTTAATTGATAATTAAATTATATGTATGTTAATTTTTTATCTTGACTCATATTAAAAAAATGAATCGGTTTGAAAATCTAAACATAAATTTATTACTCAAGATATATCTCTAGTTTAACAAAAAAGGTACCTTGATTTTGATTAAATCAAAATTTTTAGTAGAAAACATAAATCATACAAATTAAAAATAATGAATAATAATAAATAATTTGTGGTGTGTCCTAAATATATGTCCATTTTGCCTCCTATTTCATTAGAAATGTTTCCATTCATTATCAAATCCCTTGAAAAATTAAAAGATAACTTCTTTCATGTACCAATTAGATCTAAAATGCAATATTAAAGGTCTTTTGTTATTTTTTGATAGGATCAAGAATTTTGGTAAAAAGTTGTTTACAGTAAGAAAAAAAAAAAATAAAAAAAAAAAAAAAGGTAACCAATTCATTCAATTCAATATATTCCTCAATATTCTCAGAATTGTAAAAAAATTAAAGTTAACATATTATTTGTTTACTCTAGTAAACTAAAAAAAAATATCTTGGAAATTAACAAGTTCAAGAAAAACATGAAAGTCAAGAAATAGATAAGAAAAATTCAAAATGGAATTTTGTGCAACCATGAGTTATCTTTTTTCATTTATTAAAATATGTATTTATTTATTTACTATACATTTTAACTGTTTATTGTTCACAGTATTCAACCACAATAATTATTGAAGTATATGTATCAATATCTATCATGGAAGTTGACCAACGTGTTGATAATTCTTCACAAAATTCAAAGTGAGCAAATTTGATAATTAATATTGGTAGGTATAATTTTTATAGGTATTAAGGTGCCTGAGAAATCTAATTTTTTTTAACAATGTTACTAATAAAATAAAGGTATTATACCTATATTATATAATTATATATATTGTTATATTATAATAAACCGAATTATTTTACCTGAAAAATTTTAGATTTAAAAATAATAACATTAAATTTCTTGTAAAATTTAAAAATCTGCCATAGAATGTTTCTATGTTGAAAAATATATTTCATGAGCTCTCTTTTTTGAGTGGCGAAACCTTTTGGTTTGAAGTGGAAGAAAGAACTGGGAGGTCTTGGCATCCTCCAACAAAAGAAAATATGAACAAAATTATTTTGCTAGGTCAAATTAAGTAGCACTTAATCTCAATGTTTACTCTAGACTAGGTAGGTACTCTGTGGATAAAATTGTTAGACTAAACAGAAATACTTGAAAATGTAACAAGAAACATTAAAATCGTACTTTGTGGTAAATTAAAATTTGAACATAATGTAGTACAGTAGAACTTTGATAGGTCGAAATTCAAAGGAAATTTTTGACCAGAGCCGTTAAATTATGTCTTAGGAAAAAGAGCATGGTCGTATGTTATGTAAATTGTGCTCTGGTATATTTTATACATATGTAAATTGCGGGCTTTGTATATTTTGTGTAATATATGTCTAAATTGGTATGGTTAAAAATATTGGTTTTGCTTTATTTGTGTATCTTTAAAAATGTATTATTAACAATTATTAGTAATAATGTAAAAATGTGTGTAGTTAAAAATCTATAAGTAAAAAAAATGTATGATGAACAATAAATATTTTGTAATTAAGATAATGCTCTCATATAGTCTAACCAAGTAATTTTGTTAGTTTGTAATTCACACATTTTATCATGTATAAATGTTTCTTCTATCATATTTTTGGTTTTTGTTCCTTGGCTTCTCTAGGTGATAAAGTGGCATTGTATGGTTTTTTTTAAAATTTCTATGAAATTAAATATATTTGGGCGTGATGAATTAAATCAACTATTTAATTTTTTATTAAATGATTCACAATTATTTGTTGTGCACATTGTTATTGATGCAAATTCAGCCCATATCTGTGGTGGAAATTGGTTAAATATATTTCAAATATGTATTCAGTAAATAATATTATCCTATCATCTTGTAGTTGCAATGTCATATTCTGCACAAAATAATCTCTAACCGTATCAAAACTTAAAAAGTAATTTTAAGAAATTGCTTGTATTTGTATGGTTGTTTTTGTAAGCCCTACTTAAACCTAAACTTAGGACTTTTCCTATACCAACTTTGACCTAGGCGAAATCAACACCTTTTCACTTCAATAGAAGACCAAACATACAGATTTGTGTATAGTCTTTTCAAAGTCTTTATACAAACAATGGGACTGAACTATAAATTTTATTTTTTTTGTATTCTAACTAAATGTTCAAATGCCTGCAGATAGCATTGTGTATTCTTTGAAGTTAGTAAAATATAAACCAGTGAGATATAAGACTGATTAATTGTACAATGTATTGTAAATAATTGACAACATAATTTTGGACAACTTTTAAATGTACTGTCTAAAAATATATTATCCGAATTGCATAGTACTTTTAAATTGCAGGGTACCTACTCAGTCAATTTTTCATTTTAAATTTGTAGTACATTTTTTTGAACTATTTATAATAATTTTTCCAAATATTTTGAGACTCATTGTTATACAAGAAGTGATATATATATATGTGTATATATATATTTTTTGTATACAAATTTAACAAATTATATTTTAGTAAATTAAGTTAATAAATATTTCTAATTTAAATTTTTTTTTTAGATAACAGATTTATATAATTATCATACAATAAAGTATATGTAAAATAAAGCAGGTTGAATAAAGTACTAGTAATAAATAATAACAAAAAAAAAAAAAAAAATAAAATAATAATAATGATAAATTTATAATAGGTAATAATAAATTATTTATTTATTTATTTTAGATTCTGAGTAGAGCGAAGAAGCTTATGGTTTTACAATGATGTTTATTTTTTTTCTGTGGACAACTTTTCCACAAGAGATCTTGCTCCAATTTTTAAGTGTAGTACCTTTTCTGAAAGGAAATCTGACTTGGAAGGTATTTTAAGGAGGTCATTTATTGATTTTTTGAAGAGTTCACAGCAAATGTTAAATATTATTACAGAAAATACATTATATTATTTTACCATAATATGACATATAATTGTTGACAAAACATTAATATCAACTAAATTCCACTCAGAATCATTTTTTAATTAGCTCTGGTTTATTTTTGTTTAGAGATATACATTAAATTCCCTTTTGTACCTTCCCAACTTCCCACCCACAACAGTGGCAGCACCCGTCCCCATTATCCTAGAACAACTTTGTTTAATATTGTGTAAAATTATAAATTTAGTGGTAACTTAATTAACCATTCTGTAATTCTGTTTTTTAAGTTGTAAAGATTAACCAATCCACCTTCGAATGAAAATAAGGAGCATTCTTCTATGATATGCATCATCTTATGGTTGACAATTTCGCATTTTGTATTTAACCAAAAAGGTGTACTATATTCTACCACTGAATATACAAAATCCAAAGCAGAGGTTCACAAAGTCTGAGTATTTGTTCTTGGTACCTGCCAGCTGGTGATTATGTTGTTTTTAGTTTTAATTTTGTTTGCTGTGTTTTCAAGATGTCTCCAATATCTATCTAAGGTTACTCCAAGGTATTTAGGTGTAGATTCATGTTTAATACTCTGATCTTCAGACTTGATTTTCATTTCAGTTGTGCTTCTCTGTTATTGAAATGAATTTAAATAATAGAGAAAAAAAACATTTTTTAACTATTAGGTTTGATCCTCCATGTTAAAAAGTAAATCCTAAAGTTTTCCAGAGCCTCATTTAAAATACTTTCACACTATGCGATTTAAGTATTCTGGGTGACTAGAGCCATATCATCAATGTATTGGAATATTCTGCAGGTTATTTCTGGTCTAACATTTACATATAAATTGAAAAGTAAAAGAGTAAATATAGGATCCCTGAGGTAATCTATTGCTTGTTAAGCACCACCTGTTCTCTTTGTTATTAAGGAAAATCTTACATTTTCGATTAGTTATCATATTGTTTACCAAATTAATAGCCTTAACAGAGGGTACTACTTTGGTTAGTTTTAGCATTAGTGCCTCTCTCTGAACTGTATCATATGTGGATAATAGATGAATAAATACATAACTTAATCTTAGTAAGCTAAGTATTAAGTACTCTTAGTAATTAATCAAATTTTAATTGTAACATTGTTATAAATGTTGATTGGTCAACTGAATGTAATCTGTAGTCTTTTTAGGTATTTTTCGTTATTTGCACAATAAATATATTTTATTAACACATTGTTACCAAGAATTAATAAAAAGAGTTTTTATAGATATTTGTATTTTTCAATTTCGTCAAGATGAAAAATAATCAGTTCTTTGAGTTATTGCATTGTACCTATTTGTAATTTAATAATTATAAGTATCTATTTATTTTACCTACATTTATAATATAAAATTCTGCTATGTCATGCATTTATCTATAGCATGTACATTTTATTAACAAATGATGAAAATATGGTTGACGTAAATGGAAAGGGAATATTTTCCGGGCAGGGGTCAACCAGACTAGTGCCAAAATGTTTTATAAATGATGTAAAATAACATTTGATAGACTGAAACAACATATTCTGAATACAGATTTTTATAATTTCTTGAGACACCCATATTTGTGTGTTTACCATTCTGGGAAACCATAATTGACTAAATATTATAAAATTCAGTTTAGACATATAATAATTAGCGTACTATCATTATTTGCAAAATATAACTTCAAGTAACAAAAAGAATACAATAGACATTAGAAATATATTATATAATACAAACAAAATCATAATAATCTTAATTTATTAAACATTTTTAAATATAATTCTCATATCTTGTTTGTTTTATTATGTGCTAATCTGTACTGTGTTACTCTCTGTGTACCTCTTACATATTGTGATACAATATTGGAATATAAGAACTAATAAATTGATGGTTAAAAATACATCATTAGTCAATATCTAGACGTGTATTATTTCAGTGGTTTTCAAATTTTTTTGACTATGACACTTTGGTTTTCACAGTATTTTCATGGCACACTGTTACCTTTTTTTTGTTATTCAATTGTTTGCACTAAATTAGAACTAATATCAAAATTAATGAATCATACTCTAAGGAATCATAATCAAAAGAGTTACAACATTATACTTAACGAGTGGATCGCCATAACCAATAGTCACAATTTACGGAAAACAAATTTCAAAAGTCAGGGGCACACCTAGTTTGAAAACCACTGTATTATATTATATTTTAAAAGCTTTAGAATTTTTAATGTAATTAATAATCTTTTTTTTCAGGCACATAACATGCAATTTCAAAGATGCTGAAGAACAATTTAATAATATCCAAATTAAAAAAGAATATGATTTAATTGATGGTGTTGAGTATATAAGTGAAATCAATATTGAACCAGATTCTGTGGAATCAATTTTGTATCAAAAACCAAAACAGTATGATGTATATAGTAAATCATTAGAACAAACACCTGATTTGGTAGTTGGCACGCGTAATCAAACTGGTAAAACACATATATGTAACAGGTGTGAGAAATCGTTTGGACAACAAAGTAATTTAATAAGACATTTAAGGACTCATACAGGTAAAAAACCTTATAAGTGCAATGTTTGTATGAAGTCATTTTCACAATTGGTTAATTTGAAAATGCATGTATTAATTCATACTGGAGATAAACCTCATAAATGTGATTTGTGCGATAAATCATTTACACAAAAAAGCAATTTAAAATCTCATAGGGTGAATCACTTTGGAGATACACCTTACAAATGCCACATGTGTCAGAAATTATTACAGAAGGAATACAAAAGTGATTTAGAAATTCACCCACAGACTGATACTGGTACACAACCTTATAAGTGCAATGTTTGTATGAAGTCGTTTTTTCAATCAAAGTTTTTAAAAAGTCATTTATTATTGCACACTGGAGATAACCATTACAAATGTGATGTGTGTCATAGATTTTTTAAACATAAAAAGGGTTTAGCAGTGCACAAATGGGTACATACTAGAGATAAAATAATTAAGTGTGAAATTTGTATGAAATAGTTTTTACTATTTGCCAGTTTAAAATCTTACAAAGTAATTCATTTTTTTGATAAACCTTACAAATGTGTCTTGTGTCAAAAATCATTTAAGTGAATTAAATGGTTTCTCTCAAGTATGGATCCTTTTTTGTCCTACTAAATAATTGTTTAAATTAATTTGTAATGCACAAAAGGATCTATACTGGAGAGAAACCATTTAATTAGCTTGAATAATTTTTGGCTGCAACTAAACAAAAATCGTGTTAAATAATTGTCAATTGAATTTAATCATCATTTTGTACATCTTATATGTTGTATCTTATAATATGAATTACCGAACATATATGTGATCATTTATTTATAACTACATTAATATTTATAATACCAAAAAAATAATTTGTTTTAATTGTATTTTAAATTTAAGACAATTTACCAAATTCATTTGATTTGTTAATTTGTTCAGTATTATCACTATTTTAGTATTATTGTTTTTATTTATTTGTACTATTTTAGCATTATATTGTATCCTATATCCGGTTGATGCCGGGTTCACCGACAATTTTGGTTCTTCCGTAAATGACGGCGGATACTCGTTTATTTGAGTTCGACTTTTGGGATTAATCAAACAATGAACTCATCCGTTTTGAAATAATAACTTATTGTTTATTATTATTTAAGTTTATTTAAAAAGATATTTAATAGGTTCTACGTATAACTATACGGAATCGTTGTTTTTACTCGAATCCATTTCTCAACATTTCATGCGCTCAGCGAAGACGTTACCAAAAAATAATATATTGCTCACTTAGCTAAATACAAACTATGTTTTAAGCCAAGGGTTCTCAACACTATTATAATAAACTTCAAAAAAAAAAAATGTCTTAGTCATTATAAAGTTTTATATGTTTTAGTCATTTTATGCAATCCTGATAGCATGTACTTTGTTAATTAATAATCCCATATCTTTATTCTAACTATCAGGTCCAGCATTGTTGGTTTTAGGTTTAGCTCTTAGTTGAGTAATTACTATAAAATATTTGCTTTGATTAAGATGCAACTGTTAATGTTGACATAGTGGATAATTCACTAATGCCCCTCAGATTTAATAAATTTATACTTATGTTATTCTAGGTATACAGATGTGAGTAGGTAACTAGTAACTGCTATGATTTTATAAATAATATATACTTGTAACTTATTTAAACTTTATTATAGTTTTATTCTGTACATATAAGTGAAATTTTTCTCAGGAACACCTAGAACTTCAAATCTGGGCACATGATTGTAGGTACCTATTCTATGCATATACAATACCTACAAAATAAAAACTATGTTGGAAAACTCACTTTTATAAAATACCTATATGCTTCAAAATTTTGAAAATTTTTAATAGATTTAAATAAAAACATTAATTAGAGTGATAATACTATTTTCTGATATAAAACTGATAACCGATATATAAACTTACATAAATCATGTGACATATAAAATATATTAGATTCTGCAAGAATAATTATTTATTAAATATTAATATATTTTAAAAAAATATTTAATAATACTTAGTTTAAATATTTTTATAGTTAAATCATTTAACAAAAAGGACGGACATACTTCGCACGTGAGTGCAGCCTCTGTTATAAGTGGAAAGTTTGGGAAGGTAGGATATAGACAGAAATTTAATGTATACTTAATGTAATGTAAGCAACGGAAAACGATTCTGAAGGGAATTCAGTTGATCGTGTTGTTTTGTCAACAATACAATATATGGTATATATGTCATATTATTGTAAAATAATACAAATTTAATATTAACAAATAATAAATAAAAACTGTTGCTAATGACAACCTTATTTTTAATCTTTCAATCTTCTTTAACCTAAAAACCGAGGTTTTCCTAATTATCTCGAATATTAATGAGAATTTCTAAAAATGACTTCTCTAAAGTACCACCCTGAGAATATTTCCTTTCAGAAAAGGTGCTATACTTGATAATCGGAATAAGCTTTCTGATAGAAAGTGTTCACATAAAAAAAAAAAAATAAAATAAACATCATTGTAAAACCAATACATTCTCCAATCTTTATTATATCCATATAAACCAATAAAATTAATAGGTACTAAATTATGAGATTTAAAATGAACAAGTCAATAAGAAAAAAGTAAAATCTTTAAACATTTTAGTTTTGAGTTTAAATCATTAAGATAAAAATAATGATACTGTTATTTAGTAAATTCTTAATAGTTTCTTCAAGATACGAATATAACATATTAATTAAGTCAACAAAATCTTATTTTAAAATAGGTACATTTAAACTTTGAAGAATAAGACAACAGTTTTAATATAATTACGAAGTATTTTGATTAAATTGAATATTTATTTATTTAAAATAAAATATTAAGTATAACATAATAAAGTGTAAGTATAATGGGCCTCACCGGTTAAGCTCATATGAAGAGCCAAAAAAATACTTAAGTATTTCTGATTTTTATTCGGAAATATTAATTGTCTCACATTTTCTAAGTTAAGTGAATTCTATTTTGATGAGCAAATTAATCCAGTTATGTTAAATAACCATTCATAATTCATAGAGCTAGATGGACAAGAATAATCCTTTAATCTAAACTCTTAAGACCTTTAAATTTTGAATTTGCTCAATGTTGAAAAATATCTCCATTAATTATGCTTTTTTTAAATACATGCCCAATTCTGCTTTTGTATATTTTTTCAACATTTGAAATTTCTTTTGGTAAAATTATAGAGAATATAGTCAATATTGGATTTAGTTGATGTTTGATCCATTTAATGTTTTGTGGAGGTAATGGTCAGATCAGTATTTTGACACATCATAAGATAAACAAATCTTAATTTGTTCTTAAAGAACATGTTATTTGCTGTACTATTTCTATAGAAGAAAATATCTTTAAATCTTGGATCAAATAGAGTGCTGATTGAGAGAAACTTCTCTCTTTCAAAGACAATAAACCATTTTTTTAATTTGAATGTAAGTGCATTTTCCGTTTTGCTGCATTTAGTTATAAATTTTTTACTGTTTTTAAAGATATATATATACTTCTGAATATAAAGGAGTTATTAAAGAAAATATTAAAGGAATAATTTCACACAGTGTAGTATTTTCATTTGATAATGCAAGAATAGCAGAATACAATACCTATTTCCAAAATTTTAATTAATTCCTTTATCGTGGTTCAATCACTAATAGAAAATATTACATTTAAATTAATAAATAGTGCTAACACACTTTTTTGTTATAAAAACTGACTAAGCATTAACAATATACTGTTTCATCTTGTGCACACATCTTGTATAAACTTATGGACAGCTATTTTATTATCAGACGATTATATTGTTTAGTTAAAATACTGTGTTTAAAGTGACCAACCACTGATTTAACTTTCTTACACAGAAAAATTAATATACTATATCATACGAATAATATACTTTTTACTCTTTTGTTTATTAAGGCGATTTTTAAAATAAATAAATAATTATGTATAAAATTCAAACACTAAAATATAAATTACTAATAATTGCAATATATAAGAAGTACACGAAACAGATATAACAGAATTTTAATATATGCAAAATTTAATTAAAAAATAGAATGGGCATGTTTAGTGAATCACCATGTTATAATTCTTGAATTTGAAACTTCAAAAATTATGTTTTAAATTAACCTTAATCATCAGGAGAAAAGTACATAAAAAATATATTTTGTTTATATCTAAAACAAAATTTTGATCTTTTTTTTTAGTGTATTTTGTTTCTCCTGAACAATGTTGTAGAAATTATATAGGTTTTGTGATTGCCATAAGTTAAAAAAAATTATGTAATAAATAAAAATTAAAAACAAATCAAAAAAAAAAATAGTATAATTTTTTTAAAACATTTTAATTACCTTAATCTACTATCTATTAAATTATTAGTGCTGTAATAAGATACTTTAAATTAGTATCTAGATACAGATACAAGTATCTTTATAGTATATTAAGATATATTTAAGAAAACAAATAATTTTTTTCATAAATATTTAATTCATTAAAAATATAGAATGAAAAATTTTTAACAAAACAAGTAATAGGCACATGATTTATTATACAATAATTTGTATGTTTGTTTTCAAATATAATTGTAGTCTTATTAGGTTATAAGTTATAATACACGAAAGACTAAGCCACAAAATAACCGAGTATATATTCGTTTATAAAGTAAAAATATTTTTTGGTAAAAGTTAGTTATAATTTTTTTTCATTTGCTTTTTTTCTATTACCACTGTCACTGTACTAAATTCTTTTAAACCCCTATGTAATCGTTGATTACCTATTGTTATTGTCAATACTTTTTGTATTTTCGATAATACTAAATTTATATATTTATTTTAGCTCAAGCCGCGATTGCGGTGTTGGAATTGCTTTAGTAATAATAATTATATTGCAACAATGACAGTGACTATTATTTCTGATTTTCTGTACTGCAAATTTGAAAAATTTGATATTTATCACTAATGATCAGAGGCGTATCCAGGAGGGGGTTAGGGGCTTATAACGCTCCTCGAATTTTTTTTATTATACATGTATTTACGTAAATCACTTTTTACGGATACAAATTGTCTGTTTTTAGATAAAAACAGATTTAAATATCTGTATTATATTATTGAACATTTTTAATGCAGAGAATTTTAAAAACTCAATAAAAATATTAATTTTGTAAAATAGTACCTCATTTGCATTTTGTAAAATAGTTATCTGTCTTATATTTGTGACTAATAAAATAAATACAAAATCACATACTTACATGTTAATTTAATATACTTGTACAATTTCGCAATGTATATGTAGTAAAACTTGTACTATGTATACATTTAGAAAAAAAATGTGATCCCTAACAAAAAATATTCTGGATACACCACTGCTAATGATTGAGGAAAAGTTGTGAATTCACGATTAATTTTTTTTATTCTATATTATATTGTTTATACTTATATTTTGTTTATTACATGAAAAACGCTTTAAAAATTGTATTTACTTATTTAAAACACATCTCATACATAAGGTGTTTATTACCTCTACACCCCAGTAAAATATTAGGAATAGAAATATATAAAAAAATATTTTTGTACATGTATATTGATAAACTTTATTACCTTTACATATCTAATAAAATATATTATAAATAATTAAAAAATTATTTTTGATTGAAGTTTTAGTTTCTGAGTGTAGTGAAGTCTATGTGACTTTGGACTAGCTGTTAAAACCATTAAAATCAATGATGGAAATAGACCAGTTTGGGAATTTACGGATTGGGTAATTTGAAGAAAAAACGTTGGCCGGCAACAAAATTAATTTTCACATAAATAAATGAATAAATGCCAGTTTTAATAAAACAACTTGTTGTAGTATGTGAGGGTCAAATTTTGAACCTGATATTCAATAGTTTCTTAAAATCTGATCCAATGCTCTCATTGGTGCAAGGTTAAGAATAAGTGCTAAAAGTTTTGCACAAACACTGATTAGAGGAACAATATTTGAATGTTTTAAATTTAGCATTATGTTAGTACTTGTCTAGAACTACAATACAATTTGCAAGTATATTGGAGAGGGTCACTATCCCATTTTGTTTGTGCTCCTCCTATAAATGCCAAAATATGATAATTATCAACAAAAAAAATAATTTAAACAAACTTACTTTAAAAACTATAATAGCAGATTGACTAACATTAAGTCATAAAGGTATAGATTGAAGTATTTTAATGGCAAATTATATATTATGATTGGGATTTTTTACTTTACATACTCTTTTTAAACAGACCCAAATGCTTCATGACCTAATATTTTCGTCGTTAATGACTAGTTCCTCCCCCAAATTTAAAAACACCTAAACAATGTGTATATATATATTTAAAAAATAGATTTCATCTATTTTAATGATTATAGAAAAATCATACTGTATCAGGAACCACTTGTGCCAAAGATAAGCCTTCATGCCTGGGACTGAAGATGCTGCTAGAATACAGTCTTCTACTATCCAACCATAATGTATATCGCCATCAACTTGATCTTCTGAGATTAAAGGGTGAACATTAACAGATACTTTTCTACTTGACTGTGGACTGACATCATGCCCAACTCTGATAGATGATTAGCTTTCTATGTTATAAATAAATATTACAATCTAATGGTTATCAGAAAGAAATAATAATATGAATAGTATAAATTATAAAATATAATGTGTTAGTGTGTGTATATGGGGATGAACACTCATGAAAATTTGTTTTCGTACATAAATAGGGTTGCCAGACGTCCCGTATAATACGGGAATGTCCCTTTTTTTGACTAAGTGTCCCGTTGTCCCGGCAACTCTTGTCGGGACACTGAAATGTCCCGTTTGCTAAAATATGTACCCATATTATATATTGTATTCTTTTTTCGTTTTGAGATAACAATTACCTACTTGTTATTCATTATCACTACCCGTCGGCCACATAGATAATAGAAGATTATAATATAACCATTTGACCATACCGACCGATATCATAGACCTATAAAGGTCTTTATAGGTCTATGACCGATACCGATTTCGTTTCTATTAATAGATTGTTATAATTTTATATTATGTTTACCATTTCGCATATTATTATAAAATAGATTAGTCGATAAGAAAATTATTATTATTCTTATCTGTTCTATCATAATTCATAGTCTGGTCAGACCACAGTAATATACATTAGTCTGTAATCGTTTTTATAACATAATAATATGATAGTTAAGTTTTAATTTTTAAAATGCCCAAACGAAAGTACACATTTAATGAAAAGTTACAAAGTGAATACACATTCTTAAAAAAATGTCAAAAACCAGGACAAGAATATAAAATTGAATGTATTGTGTGTGGAGCAGCATTCAGCATTGAACATGGTGGTAAGTCNACATAATATAGCTGCTAGAGCGTCTAAATCTCAAAAATTGTCAAATTTTTTTCTCCAAAAACACAATTTACTGATAAAGAACAAAAATTAGCTGCAGATGAAGGAATCTTTGCTTATCATACTTGTAAACACAGTCAAAGTCTCAATTCTATGGATTGTACTTCTCAGTTAGTTCGTAAATTATATGAGAAAAAATTTACTTGTGGTAGAACTAAAACAAAATCTATCATCACTAATGTATTTTTACCCTATACTGTTAATGTTTTAAAAAAAGATTTACTCAAGTGCAATTTTGTATCAATTATGACTGATGCATCTAATCATAATTCTCAAAAAATGATACCCATTCTTGTTCGCTATTTTCTACCTGACGAAGGAGTTAAAAATAATATTTTGGAATTCAATGAGCTTTCGGTAGAAACTGCATCACTATTAACGTAATATATATCATCAATACTTTACGAATGGAAAGTCGAAAATAAAGTTATTGCTTTTTCTGCAGATAACACTAATTGTAACTGTGGTGGTGTAGCTCGAAATGGAAAAAATAATGTATTTTATAAACTTAAAGAGATTTTTAATAAAGATTTAATTGGAGTAGGCTGTGCTGCACATATACTTAACAATGCAGTACAATCAGCCGCAGACACATTACCTTTACATATTAATTGATGTACAGGTTATAATTGGAAACATTTTTCAACATTTTTATATTTATACTGTTCGAGTCCACGTTCCCAAAGAATTTTGTGAATTTGTTAACATTGAATACAAAACCGTTTTAGGTCATTTTAAAAATTTATATTATCTATTGATATAGAAGTATACGGAAAACTGATATAATTTTTAAAAAATATTAGATAGTTGAAAGAAGTAAAAATATTAAGTAAAGATTGTCCTATAGTTTAATTCATGATACTTTCATTAAAAAATGTCTAGTGGCGTCGTTGTGATACAGTGAAACCTCTTAATTCCCGACATTATCGGTCGCCAAAATTTCATCCGTTATATGGAGGTTAAGGGAGATGTCACTGTATTTGAAATAGACATTTTTTTAGTCCCGTATTTTGAATTTTGAAATCTGGTAATCCTATACATAATGTATAGGTATAGTAGTGAACCCATATTTTTACAACCACAATAGATATGCATTAGAGTATTGCACAGTTAACAGAACTGTACAATACAATAAATAATTAAAATATAATAATTTATTATTTTATGTTAATTTAAAAAGGTTAGACCTGACCACTCAATCCACGTATGTACGCCACTAATATCGAATGTCTTTTAGCACAAAATTATGAATTAATACATTAGGTTTAAACTAATAATCTTACCTCATAAAACTCTGAAGAATTTATAAGACGGAATTTATCTCGGAGATAATTTTGCAAGCAAATAATACATTTGTATGTTCGGGAAAACAGTAAAACAAAAACGGGTACCCAGTACCATAACAAATTACCTATTTTGTAATGTGAATGCTAATTTCTTTTAGATTTAATAGATATAGTAGCAAAAATACAAAATGAATTATTTACCAAACAACGATATGTGATAATTAATAACACTAACAATAAATAATAAACAATTCAACAATTGATCGCTTTAATTTTTCAGTTTAGCTGTTACAAACGTAAAGTAAAAGTATTTAGGTACACTCGCGCTATCTAGTGTTAAGTTTATAATTATTGAATATTTTTACTTTGTACAACACTACTCTTTTAATTTCCGTAGTATAGGCAACTTAAATTACACAACAGCTGTAACTATTTTTTATCAAAAAAAAAATGTAGCTTTAGGCCTCTAACTTTACGCACGTTATTTTCGTCGAATACGAAAAATTGGACTTAAAAGTAAATACTTGAACATTTTTGGTTGTAACTTTTAATCCAACGAACCAATCTGCCTGCGAGTTTCTCTTTTCCCATTTGCACAATATTTTTGATCGATTGATACCTTATATGATCTTGTATGTTCAGCCGTTTGGCCTATAGAACTGGCTGCTGAATTAATACAAATTACTAATTAACACAGGTTTTTCAATGATACAATTTGGTTTCCTGTTACTATAAGTTAGTGGCTATTATGTTATTTTTTTTTCTTTTACTTAGATCTCTGGTAGAAAAGTTTGCACAACAATTCTATGGGTATTTTGTGACTAAAATAGTCCGAACGAGCTATGACTTGGAACTCTAGCTACACCCAAAATGCATTGTTTATTGTTTGTTTAGGTAAAAGGGGGAAAAGACGAAAACAATTTTATTCGAAACTCGGGTTTGAATGTGAGACCCTTGAATGTCTAATTACCATAATACTATGATAAAGATTTTTAAGTTTGACAATATATAGTTTATTTAACATAGGTAACATATAAATATATAATATCAGAACTTCAAAAAGCTATAATTTTGAAACTATATCAGTACGCTCAATTCTTATTTCATCAATGTTCTTAAATCGGCAATATAACATACGCAGTTTATTCTCAAAAGCATACTGCTATCCAAGATAAAAAAAATAGTTATCCATTACCTGGTAAACACCAGTATAAGTATGAAAAATTAAAATACTTTTATAAAATAGTTCAGTTGGTAATTATTACATGATCGAATTTGAAAAAGATTGCCTACAATATGTTACAGGGGCTGTTGTTAGAATATGGATTACTAAATATCCACACCTTGGAAAAGTTATTAGTGATGATCCAACAAGCTTTAATATAATGTTTATCTAGAGGAAATCTTATATTTTCATTTGATGATTTGATTAAGACAGCAAACATAGTTGAGATGGTTTTTAATGAACATCATTTTAAAACTGGTTTAAATAATAAACCAGGAATTATGATGGACGTTGCAGATAATGTAGTTAAAAAATTTAAAAATAATGTAAATATACGAATAGATGTAATGAAGTGTTTAACGAGGATAAGGATATTTATTAGGTTAAATAATATGAATAAAGTACTGTATGACAAAGCTAAGACACTAAAAGACAAATGTGTAATGTCCACAAATTTAACCTGTAATTTGATATTTCAGATATAAATTTACTATTATGTTTGTTAATTATTTTTTAAATACAACAATAAATTTAAAAGAAAAAAAAATAGAAATTTTAATAAATTTGTGACCTAACCGCGGTCTTATATGATAGATCCCGCAATTACTACATTTGAAAAATCCTTTTCAGTTGAAATCATAATTGTAGTTTTTATTCCATGAAAGAAAATACAACCAAAGCCTTACGTATTGCTGACATACCAAGTTATTTAGTCATGATGACTCATCTAAAAATCCTATATTATCTATAAACCTTGATGATGACTTTTTTTTTTTTAATAGCCATGATGATTTAGCCATAGATGGTCTCTTCACTCAAAATTCTTCAACGACCACAATAATAAATTTCTCACCACACTTATTGTAAATTTTGTTAATAGATTGTGTAGATAAATAAATATAAACAAAATTTAGACACTTAAAATTTTGTATAATTTTATAGTATAATATTAGTAAAGTTTTTCATTTTATCTAGGGTGTGGTCAAAAATAATGTTGGCAACACTGTTCACTGCATTGTTTATTGGCGTCAGTCTCCTTCCCTACGATCTTTTCTCTATCCGCCATTACGTTCGATTTGTCATTTGTTTCGATATTTAATGTGTTATTCAGCTGTGTTAATCGTTTCTGTGGTTGCTTTATCCGTTTCTTTTTTATTATTAAAATTTTGTTTGCTGTAACATGTAGTATCTAAAAATCGATCGTCAAGAATTACTAACTACGTTATTGATTACAATAATTATATTAATAGGAAAATGCAAAATATTTGTGCATTCCTAGAAAACTGTGGAACTACAATTTTCTAATGCGTTTATTTACAAATTATGTAAATTGGACTCAGACTACAATTATATCTCATAAGTACGTATTATATTTCACATTATGTATAATTTAAACAAGCCTTTATATAAGTAGGTAGTTAAGTTTTATAATATATATGTTTGGTTTAAAAAAACATATATGTATAAAATATAACTGATTGATTTACAAATTCTTATTAATTAATTTATTTTATTTTATTACAAGGCTCTATGTAAATACATTTATACTATAATCTTATCCACAAGAGAACACAACTTGCATACAAAAGATTGAATTCCACTTTCTCGTGGTCAAATTCTTCCTCTCAATATGGGCTGGTACAGTGGAAGGAATCCTCACGAATAAAATAGTTTTGGTAGTTGCTTACTTGTGTTCCCCCATGGAATTCATCAGGTTCTACTGAATTGTAATTTGGTTTGAATTGTAGAGAATATTTAATTATTTATTATAACTTATTGTAATGAGTAACTAATTATATAAATAGACATATAAATAAGAAAAAAAATAAAACAAGTATTATAATAATATATTTATATCATAGAAATATAAATCCAAAAAATTATTAAAATTGAAGTCTGAGGATGGTTTTATTGGGTTTGATGAGAATGATGAATTAACTACAATTATGGAAATAAAACTAAAATGTAAGTTATAATCTTAAAACGATTTACAATTTCTTTGTATTTTTAATAACCTAAAAAAAATATTTTTATTCTAGAAAAAGTTATGAGGGAATTATCTCTGGAAGTAATGCAAATATGGCCATCATGTAAGGATGTAGGTGACTAATCAGGCAGTCAAAAGTAAGAAGTAAGTCTTAATATCTTAACTATTAATCTATTTTATCTAATTATTAAAATGACTGAATAAGTGGATTTTTAAAAGCTAATTTTAAAACATAATTTATGTTATTTAATTAAAAATCAAAATATAACACATGCAATAACATGAATTAATAATACAATTGGTCTAAATAAAGTAAATAAGTATACTAAATAAATATATAAATATATCATTTAAGTATATATTTATTATAAGTAGTAGATAAATGGGGAGTATGGCGCAGCCAGATATTTTCACTTTTAAAAACTAATTTCAAATCCCCATTCATATTGTTCTTTGTTCACATATTTATATTAAAAAAATAAATTAAAAATAATATTTAAAATAATTAAATTAAAAAAAAAATATTTATAATAAATAAATTAAAAATAATATTTAAAAAATGAATTTCTAATTTCCATTTTCATACTTTAATTTGATAACATTATATTAGTATAATAGTCTAATATTTTTTCCATATATTTTTTTAATACATTATAATAAAAATCAAACATTCGAGTTTTAGATAAATTTAAAATACACATTCCTAAATGAATTGGTTGTTTTAATTCAATCACAGTTTTATGTATAGCTACTAAGTTTTTTTGTAAAAATGGTCACTTGATCAAAATTTGGTTTAGCAATCCACTTTTCTATTTTCTTCTGTTTGTATACTCATTTTCTGGTTGTCATTCTTTTAGTTTTCGGTAATAAGTTTATTTACAATCGGTTAAAACGCTAGCATTCGCATTTTTTACGGTGTTATATTGTTGATTACAGTCGTATTATGATCGTGTAAGTGATCGTGCGTTATTGTTCTTGCCAACTGACGTTCGGGGTTTGGGCGTTCATTGCCATGGATGTTTTTGTGTAACGTACCCGACTTATCCTCTGAAAATCTGAAATTCATTCTCCGTAACCTTCTCCTGCAAACCGTCATCGTTTCATAAGGCCATCTATGCTCCTCCTAGCATTTGCCGTCCCCTATCAGCCACGATTTTGTAAGNTTTTAAGTTTAATTAAAGACACTTCAAGCATTTAAATGCATTTAAGAATGTCTATCCACTAGTCTGTAAGTATATTGATATTGGGCCACTGATAGAAAAAGTCTTTATAAATATATATGCGATAATAATTTTTTCATATTTTAATAACGCTTTCAATAGGTTAGATGCTTTTGTTCGAATGTCTGGTGTAAATGATTCTTTCGAACAGATTTTAGTAAGTGCAATAATTAAATCAGGGTACATGGCTTCATCATACATTCCATACATACCAAAAATCCTATTTACTGCAGTTTGTTTCAATGTCCACCTTGTATCTCCAATTAGTTGTAAACGCTTATGATGAATGTTTTCATTATTTTTTTCACTTATATTTCTCCATACATTAATTCGCTTATATGACTCTTTGAAGAAAATTGCACATCCATTGATTAGAGATAAAAAGTTGACTATCATTACTGGATTCTTAGTAGCATCACAAATTACTTAGTTTAGTATGTGACTAAAACATCAGACATGGATTTGTTTTGGAGCTACACTACTTAGCCATGAAGTGAAACCATTATAAGTACATCGCATATTTGCTGCTCCGTCAGTTGTGTTAGAAATGCAGTTTGATGTATCAATATTAACTTCATTCATAGCACTTTTTAAAAATTCCATCATACCTTTTCCAGAAGATTCTATACAACATTTAACAGCTATTCATTTTTCCTTAATTTTTCTATTGAAAACATAGCAAAGAATAATAGACCGAAAACATACCAGCTGTTGAGATTTGCTCAGATATTATTTGAATTTTTAACGAAATTGTTGAGGTGATATTGCCAATGGAATAATAGCTAAGAAAAGTTACAAAATTACCTCTTCCTTTAAGTTATTTTAAGTGAATATTTTCACTTTTATTAATAATTATATTTAAATGTTCATTTAACACTAGTAGTATAAATATGCGGTTCTGGCGCAGCTTGATATTTTTCACTTTAAAAACTAATGTTCCGATCTATATTTACATTGTTTTTATTTCCTGTCTTTTTTATGTGCATAAAATAAAAAAATAATATTAAAAAAAATAAATTAAAAAATCCCTATCTTTTAGAATTTTACCAAATGTCTATATGTTAACAAAGGTTATATTTTAAAGGTATATATAAAATTTGAAGTTAATCGATCCAGTAGAATCCAAAATTTCTTACTAATCACTCTAGTTAAAATTTGATAACATATTCTAAAAGATCGTTTAAGATTTAGTAGGGGTAGATGAAAACAGAATAATATATGAAAAAAGTGTGATAGGAAAATCGGTGGCCTCCGTGTATATGATTGGATTGAGAAAACTATTGAAAATTTTTTCCTTATTTCTTTTATTTTCATTATATTTTTCACTTTAAAAACAATTTATGTAAACATTGCACTAAGAACAGTTCTCTTTAACAAAAATAAATAATATAATATATTACGCATCACGCGTGAAATAGATTATTTCTCAAAAATAATTTATATTAAAATTATCATTCTTTTTTACTATTTGTTTTTATTAAATTATCAAGGTATTCTCTGAAATTTTCTCTTTCTATGTTTGTTAAATAATGCCCCCATGCTAAAGTATTTATACCATTATCTAGAATATATCTTTTATCATCGTATGCACTAAGAGCTTTTTTGTTTTGTTCAACAGTATATATTTCATGTTTATCTGTTCTAAAAATGTTCTGTTTTACATATTTTGGATTTTTACTTTTTAAACAGTAATAAAAATCATTAAAACATAATTCATTTTTAACTATAGGTTTTTTCACGCCTTTTGCTTTTTTAATTTCTGTTTCATTTTCAAATACTTGAAATGAATATAATTTAGATCTTAACCCAACAAATTCAGTTATTATTTGCCCATTAAGCTCATCTTTAAACTTACCTGGAACTTTTTTATTTATTTGTGGTATTCCATATTTATTATTCTTAGGATAATCTGAAAAATCACATTCATTTAAAAGTTGTTTATTGTTTTTTACATCTGTATAAAAATCTTCAGTTGAAATTTCTACTATTAAAGAATCTGTGTCTGTGTATAATAATCTGATATTTTTTTCATTTTTTTTTTTTTCAATACGTTATAATAAAAATCATACATTCAAGTTTTAGATAAATCTAAAATACACATTCCTAAATAAAAAACATAAATAATTGGTTGTTTCGATTCAACCATAGTTTTTTTCATATGTACAGCTACTAAGTTTTCTGTAAACATAGTTGCTCAATCAAAATTTGGTTTAGCAACCCATTTTTCTATTTTTTTTCTTCATTAATTAATTTCATATCTTTATAGTTCCTTGTGTTCATTATAGTCCTACCAAATACACTGTTGTTCATTAACTTATAATAATCTTTTTCAAATTCATTATCTGTTTTTGCACGAAGATTTGTGTTGAATTCTATATATTTTTTCAGCCAATCTTTTTGATCAAATTCTATTATCCTATGTATTTTCTCTAATTTTAAACCTAAACTTAAATAAAGCCTAGGATTAAATTAATGTAGAATATATTTTTTCTTATCATATAGAGTTGTTGTTAATTTTGCTAATTTTTTATTATCAAATACATTTTTGGGAGCCAATGGATAATCAGAATGAAGATCGAGAAGCTGTTCACGATATTTCAAATGTACTTTTTTTTATTTAAATAAGATCCATTCCTAATTTTCTTTTTACTTTCATAATATTATTAGTTGCAAAAGCTGCTGTTTTTTCACCTAAAGATGTTTCAGGATTTTTGTATATATCTTTTGCAATATTTTTGTAAAATTAAATCAGTTTTATGTCTAGATTTGGTATCTTTATGTTTTTCATAGTAAAAATCATTCCATTGCAGCTTCATCTATTTTGTTTATTAGTTTCTTAGATTCTGTAAACGGTCTGAGATAATTATAACCAGGCCAGTGAATTTCAGGCATAAATTAACTATTCAAAAAAGTATTAACAAGTTTAGATCCACTGATCACTTTCTTTAGTAAACTTGCAATAAAATAAATTAGATATGCTATACCATGGAGTGTATCAACTAATTTTTTCATTTCTTTGCTTACAAAATTTATAATACTTTAATTAATAATTTTTCATTATGGAAATTATTATTACCAGCTCCTTCTGCAGAAATAAAATATAATCTTTTTAACAATTCGTTTAAATTATCAATGTATTCATATTGAATTGGGTTTTCTATATAATTTATTAAACCAGATCCTTCATGCAAAGTTTGTAATTTTTTATGTTCACTAATTTTATTCCAAATAGGACGGATCAGATTCATGTATTTATCTCCTTTACTTGATTTTACTGTTTTTGTATTTTTATTATTATTATGATATAATGAGTCTGTTTCTATTATTATTTTTTCATAATTCTTAATATCATCATCAGAATATGATGTTTTATCTACATTTTTATTATATGTTAATAATCCTTATAATCCTTGGGTTCCTTTATAAGTTTGTTCATTTAAAATAATATCGGTTATTAATATTTAAAATAATATTTTAATCCCTTGATAATAGTTTCAAATGATTTTATTTTTCTATTTCATTTTTTAGTTTTTTTTCTGCTTCATTTCTATATATTTTTTTAATTGTTTCATTAATCTCTGCTTCTTTTGGTTCTTTTTTTTCTTCAAAATGTACTTTTTTTGTATTTTACTAGATTTTTTTAAGTTTAATTCACTTTTAATTTTTCTCTTAAGATTGTTTTGAATTTGTTCAAGTGTTCTTATTTATTATAGAAAAATATATTTTTTTCAATATATTTTTATTAACTGTTATTAAATGTATCATATTTAACGTTCAAGGGTTGACAAGTGTTCAAGGGTTCAATGATTAATGGTTTACATTCAATTTTTAATGTTCGCATAAAAATTAGTCTAATTTATTATAGAGATGATTATTTGTTATATCCATAGATAAGAATCCTAATGGTTTTTTAACTTTTCTTACAAAGTAAATTAAATAAACTTAATTTATTATCACTTATAAAATCTTCCCATATTTTTTAATATAATGATCCAACTGTTTAAAAATAATTACAAAATTTAAATTGTTTCTTATAATTTTTAAAACCATTTCAGTATAATTTTGAGTTAAATAAATGCTAGAAATATTTTTATGTCTACCCTTTATAAAATATAGTTTCATTATTGATTGGTTTTTTAAAACACAATCATCAAAAATAATTAAATTATTCGGTTCAAATTCATCAACAGAAACTATATCTTCATTAGAAATAAGTGTTTCTGTTTCATCTAAATCATTAAATACTTCTTCTGATTTTTGATAAATTGGTTGATCCATGGTTTTTATAAAAATATAAAGATTTTCAAAAGAAATCCAAAAATTTATTATATTCCACAATAAAATTGTCTTTCCAGAACCTGAACTTCCTACAATTAAACATCATAAATATAAATTTTTCATTATCTTTGGTTTTCTGATATGGAAATGATTCTATATTTTTATATTTATCTAAAATTTTCTCAAGTTTATTATGCTCTTTTGACATATTTATTAAAGAAAATATTTATTTTTTTTTAAATAAAACTTTTAAAGATTAAAATCTTTAAAATTATAATTTTAAATTCATACATTATCAACATATGTATAACCATCAAGTTCAGCTTATTTCAAATTTTTTTTTGTAGGAAAAAATTATATATTTACTAAAAAATCTTTTTCTCTTACATTTATCTCTTCTTCAGTGATTTTTTGATCTTAAATAACAACATTTGATTGTAAAATTTATAAAATATTACAAATTCTGATATTTTTTAAAATTATTTTCATTACTTTTAATTTCAATTAAATCATCAGAAATTTTTATATTAATTTTTAAAATATTATTTAATTGTTCAATAGTATAGTTTAATCTATACGTATTAATAATTAAACCATTATTAAGGTATATGTTTCCTCTTATGTAGCTTAAATATTTTTCATTATTTAAATTTGGTGTTTTTACAGCAGTTGTAGTAAAACATGTTTTTTATGTCTCAATATCTTCTTGACAAGGCCATCTATAGTCAAATTATTTTGAATATTTCTCTCCATTAGGTTTTGCAATATCGTTATCATTTACTTAATATTCAAAACCTAGAAAATCAGATAAATATGAATCAAACCCAATATTAAATGGAGATGATATTTTTAATAATCCGTTTTTAAGTGTAACTTTTGTGGTTTTATTTAGACTTCGTTCAGGGTAACTATCAAATATTTTTTCAAGATATTTTAATGAATATAATGGTATTTGTTGGTAAATATCCATTTCGCCCAATAATAAATCCACATTCTTGATTAATTTGTGTGATCTCATCTTTGGGATTATGTATTGTAAATTGTAATAGAAAATCTCCAACTATTGTATCTTTCATTATGTTAAAATATTTATCTTTTTCAAGATCGAACCCTAAATATTTGTTTAACTTTTCGTTTATTTTAAAAAAAACATGAGATTTGATATTAAATTTATCTCCTACAGAAATTATTAAAGTTTTAACAATTTTATTTAATTCATCTATAATATATTTTTCAGATTTTAATTCAATTATGTTACCAATTAACTTGGTCAATTGATCAATTGGAAAATAAAATTATTTAAAATTAATGTTTTAGCTTTCACCATGGTACAACAATAAAAACCATAGTATAAACATTAACACTGCACCTGTTGTAATCCCTTGTTGAATTCTGAGTTTATTTTTGTAATATTTCCACTGTGTTTTTGTGATAATACTGCCATGTGCAGAATGCTCAGTAAATTTGTACTGATATTCATATTATTGACATAATATATTTTAATGACATATCTTAAATAAAACATAATATTTTTATGGTGCCACTAAGTTTAACTAGTTAAGCCTTTACAAAACCAAATTGATTTTAATATTTATGTACATATTTTTTCATTTACATAATCATAGCCTGTGGCTCACTGTGCTGTAGAATAGTAGTACAGTAACCCAGTTTGGCTCTGCACCAAGGTAATCCACATATCTTTGACTAGACCAATGATTTTTTGTAATAGATTAAACTTTAATATCATAAGCTCTGGTTATCTTTTATTACTACCTATAAAATGTATTATTGCTTGGTATAGAGCTAAATATATTATACAAATTACTTACATTGATACAACTTAATAAAACTCAAATATTAAAACTTAAAAAACTAAGAAATTTCATGTTGTGTTGATTACTAGTTCATCTCAAATTGATGAGGATTTAACCCTGGTAATTTTATCAACTCAAACCTTCTGTTATTTATTCAAATAAATCCTAAATCAATCCGAACTTGATGAAACAATACCAAAATTGAACAACATTTTTATAAGCTCTGAGTGATTTAAAAAAAATTTGCAAATGCTTTTTATTATTGTCTAAAGCTGCATTAATTAAATTGTGCTATACATAGCATTTTATGGTCACAACATATATTTTATAACACAACATGTTCTGAAACCAAATTAATTTTTAGATAAGTTTTAATTTTTCTGAATATTGGATAATATTAAAATGTCATAGAAATAGGATTCAACTTCTAAAAATATTATGTTTGGAATCGCCATAAAATTTATTTCATAATTTTCTTAGAACTAAACTCTCAAACCTTTCAAAAATTTGTTTAGAATTTAAAAAAGTGAATAATATTAAAAAAAAAAAATTGTAAGAAAGCCGATTTCAAGTAAACTTAATGACTTATTCAAATGTGTTTTTAGACATTTTCTTCCAATATCAAATCTAGTTGGTACAATTGTACCCATTTCCCATAAATGTGTATCGAGCAGTAGATTAATGGAAAAGTCTTATCATTAGTTAGTTCATAGTTCATTCAAATGTTCAACAATTTTTTAGAATTTGAGAAAACTTACACCAATTCCTTAAAAAAAAATATTGGTCAATTTCTCAATATTTAAATTTATTTTTTAAATTATTTACTATTGGAATTATAATAATTACTAGAATTCCTGACAACTGTTATTTTTTTTACTAGTATGTTTATATGATACTAATTTTTTAAGTAATATCATTTAATGGCACCTGTATAGCATTTATGCAATAAACTATTTTTTTTACAACATAAGAAAAAAACAAATTCTCTTGACGGTTAACTCTTGGTATTAATTTATATTATTGAATAAACATAATTATTTCTAGGCAGGAAATGGCTTTTGCCATCTACCTTGCAAGTAATAAGCGCCAAATCTCTTAAGTAGATACCATTTGGGGAGTTTTAACTATAAATGTTATAATTAACTCTAAAAACTCTTTATAATCATTTCTAGTTAATTGTCCATGATTTTATTTTTTGTAAAAAACAAAATTTTTGTAGTTATGTTTTTCAAACCTTATGATCAGTTTTAATAATAGAAATGTTAGGCTTATCAATATTTTGTTAATTTTTTTTGGAGTTCTTAAAATTAAGGATATCTCTACCAGATATAACAAAGAGCTTTATTCCAGAAAAATAATCTTGTAGAACAATTTCGTATGTATAATGACAATAAGGTAATAATTAAAGTTGTCTAGTTAATTTTTTTTTTAAAAGGAAACATGTTTCATTGAATTGATCCATATTAGAAGCAGTGGTTTTAACAACTATGGATTGAATTTAATTTTTCAATGACCAATTGATTAATATGTCATAGTATAGTATAGATGATACTTCAGATACTGTTAAAAAAAGATTTTATTTTTTAAAAATTGTGCCAAGGTTATTTAATTTGGGTTTGAGTAATTTTATTTTAATAAAATAATTTATAAAAACATATGAATAAATTGTTTGTTATAGCACTTTCCAAAAATACAAAGCCAAAGAGAAAGCTAAATCCCAGAGCCCGCCAAGCCAAGTAAGTTATAAATAGTGATTAATTACTCCATCAAGTCGTTGTTAAGATTGTGCAACTAATAACTAATAATATTGATTATAAACAAGGTTGAAGCAGTCAGTAATTTGTTTTATTATTTCAAACATTTATTAGTAATAAGTTTTATATACAAATATTTAATTAAATTTTTAGTATGATTTGTTATGAATCTCCTGCCAAATTTTGTCTATATCTACCAAACCTATCAAATAAAAATTAATTAACTGTAGAGAAAATCAAAAAATTACTTTCTTACTCCCCAACTAGATTAAAATTGCAACAAAAAAGGTATCTTTTTATAACTTTTCTAACTGAAAAATATTTCATGTAGAAAACATTGTGCATACAAATTAAAATCAATGAAATCAAAGGTCATCGTTTGCTAACTTTTAATTTTTCATCTTTTTCCTGTTTTCTCAAATATTATGAAAACTACCTGCAAAAACAAAAAAACGATTTGTTCTTGAATATCTAGATCCAAAATTCAACATAATAATAGTTTAATAGGCATTTTGTGATTAAAGCAATATTTCTGGAAGAAAAACATGTAAAAATAAAAACTGCAACTGTTGTACTAAACTTACGCTTCATTACTTACTCAGTACCTTAAATAATAAATTATTTACTTCCTGTGTTTTGAAGACAGGAATGCTATTGCATGAGTCATTTTTTTAGTTCCCATATTAGATATTTTGTTGGCCGACCCTAAATAGTTGGTATAAAGGCAAGGGAGAAAAAGATATTAGTTATATTGATTGGCTTATTTATTTATACATATGACTACTAAGCAACAAATTGAAAAAAATTTAAAGTAATATTTTAAGTCAAAAGATAAGTAATAAATAATTTATTTTGAAGTCAAATAAACATTTTAACATTCATTGATTATAATTTTATTTTATAATGTGCTTATTATTCATAATAAAATATAATAATATGTAAGTTAGTGTATGCTAGGAGTTAAAGTATAATGAATATCATGTACATATAAAAAAAATAAATAGTATGATTTACAAATAAAATGAGATTAATTAGTTAGGTTATAAAATTATTTATGTTTTGTTTCAGATTTGTCTTCTTCCCAATCCAGCAGTAAATCAGACTTAGTGATTCATAAGACAAGCAGATAATTATTAAAAAGGTCAATGAATAAAGAAGATACTGATTCAGTAGTACAAAAAAAAAAAGATAAAACGATTATAAAGGTACCTCTAAATTATAAGTATGCTACTCATTGGTTATAATAATATAACAAATTATTTAATGTTACATTAAATTATTCATTAAAAAATAATACACCTATCAAATGTATATTTATATAAGTTAGTGTAGGTTTATTATAATACATAACATATTATTATTTATTATTGATAATATAATATTAGATTAGTTTTAACAAGTAAGATAAATTAATGAAATAATGACAAAATTATTTCTGCTGTATTATTAAATTAAACAAGATCCATATTTCAAGCATGAGGAGATCTAAATATAGTCATCATGTGTCATAATATTAAAAAAAAAAAAGCTAAAAAATTAAAAAATCTAAATCTTCCACAAAAATCTTAAAAACAGTTGCTTGGTTGATATAATAGTAACCATTATAGAACATTTTGAATAAGATTTGAGTAGTTTTAAATAAAAAGCTCACAACCACTTTGTCAAAAAAAAAAAAAATGCTCACTAAAAATGTAGACTACTTGGTCAAGGTCTTTTAACGAATAATGTCCAATACGTTCTCGATATGTTTTTGATTTTCTAGGAGAAGCTATAAGATATCTAGTAATATGAAGGTGAACAATTTTATCGTCATTAATATTTTTTCGGAACTTATGGTTTAATATCGGCTCGGTAGGTGTACTTCAATCTTTCAGTAACCCTAACAGTACATCGTCAACAACTATGCAAGATAGCCTTATCCATTACCATGGACTTCTAAAAAAAATTTACTGTTTGATTGACAGCTAAAACAGTTTTAACCGAATGGCCGTATATTAAACCATCCGAAAAAGTCGTTTACCAACATATTATTATAATACTATACATATAAAAAGCTATTTCGATATTTTCGTCTGATTAAAATGTTTTGCAAACGCTAAATCGGCTGGTTGTTTTTTCTCAGATTTTTGATTTAGCGTTTGAACAAAAAGGCCCTAATGTGTCCGTTANGGTCAAGGTCTTTTAACGGACAATGTCCAATACGTTCTAGATATGTATTCGATTTTCTAAAAGAGAAGCTATAAAATATCTAGTAATATGAAGGTGAACAATTTTATCGTCATTAATATTTTTTCGGAACTTATGGTTTAATATCGGCTCGGTAGGTGTACTTCAATCTTTCAGTAACCCTAACAGTACATCGTCAACAACTATGCAAGACAGCCTTATCCATTACCATGGACTTCTAAAAAAAATTTACTGTTTGATTGACAGCTAAAACAGTTTTAACC